CTCATGACTACATAATACACACACACCCACACCCACCCACCCACCCACACACCCACACACACACACACACACACACACACACATATATATATATATATATATATATATATATATATATATATATATATATATATATATATATATATATATATATATATATATATATATACCCCTCTTTTGAAAAAAAAAATACTTATAGCATCCAATTTAGGTCACTTTTTGTGAAAATTGAGCATTTTTGCCAATTTCTTATGTTAATCGTAATCAATTTTGCATTTACTGTACACACGTATTTGTTAATTTTTTTATGCAATATAAACATTACCTATATTAAACAAACGTGGACTTTGTGAGAAATATATTTGTTGAATTTTTATCCGTCGTTATATAGGCATATGGCTCTGCTTATCCCTCCATTTTCTTTACAAATTAACCTACCTTTGTTATTTTAATTGCAGAAAAAATGAAAGATTACGAAGAACAAATAAAACAACTTACCAGAGAAAACGATGACAAAATTGGTATTTATTAATTTCTTTTGTGAAAATACTAAAATTAAATTTCTCATCATACACACTCTTTCATTTGTAAGCTCTACTTACATGACCGCAGGAGGGCTTATGTGCTGTTAAAATGTCCATCAATCAGTATTTATTACGTCCAACAATTTTTGTTCATTTATAATAAACGGTATTACCATGTTCATATTTTAATTAAATCTTTAATCTACACGTGGATAAATAATATGATACTTATAATTATCCTTTGATAATTCCTACGATGTGTAATGTATATTGAAATTATTTTTGCTCATGTAATGAAAAAAGGACAATTTTTTCCAATGTAGATGAAAATGGCCGTTTAATGCAAAGAATTCTAGATCTGGAAAGAGCTGAAGAGGAACTGCGAGGTTAGTAGACATTTTATTTCCTCAATTTCTATTGCATTCTTTGGTAAAAAATTGGTGTAGATCTTCCACGTATATTATGTGTGCATTGTATAACATTAGATCAGAAACAAATAGAATCTATAATATTATATTAATCTTTTATTTTTAGAAATGAAGACCAAGGCATATGAAGGTATAAAGATGAAATGAACATTTTCAATAACATTTATAGCTGATGCATATATCGGAGAATTTTTGAGATGGGGAGTTTTTTTTAAATCTATTTGAACTACATGTAGCAGATAAAACAAGTCCATTTTTCTTAACTTTAAAACATACTGGATATGTATATGGTCTTTAAGATAAATTATGTTTTTGTTGATGAATCAATCAGTAGTAATGCAAATGAAATTTTACATTTCGTTGTGGATATAAATTCTTGGGTCTCTTCATACTTTGAAAAACAACGAAAATTAAACCCCCACGAAAATAAGTCATTTTACCATAATCTCTATGGTGATAAAAGGGTAATAGGACATTCTATCAAATGCTTCAAAAGTAGTCATAATAATTAATACGTAGATTTGTTATACTTGCAAACTACTAAAGGAATATATAAAAAAAATAATTCAAGGACTATTTTTAATAAATCAGTGAAATGACGGAAAGTTTCGGGTATATATTAGGAAATCATATCTGATTTGCTAAAAACTATCATGCTCTTGGAATATTAAATAAGTGTTCTAAAATTTTATATTACAGAATTGAAGGATTAATCAGAAATATTATGTTTAAAGCGTGGGAATCATGGAAATAAATTCCTAGTGCTTCTCTTAATTCAAATGTGAAATTTTTTTTATGACTTATTCAAATGAATTTGTTTAAACAGCTAATAACGTATATCCTCTATTGGTTTTTTTTTTTATTTCGAAGCAACTGTATTTATTTACATTTGATAATATGCAAATACACTAAATTAGTGAAATTAAAGATCTACCAGTCTTACGGGGTTTTCATTTTCTTTTTTACAGAGGAAGTTTTTAGAGAGGATGAAATAGAAAAACTGAAACAAGAAGTCCAATCTTTAAATGGTATATATCTCCTCAGGGGACAACCAATTTTTTGAATGTCCGTTATAATAATAAGAAGAAAGTAAGCAATTATGATATATTTTAGGAACAAATAACAGGTAAACAATAAACTTAAACACACACTTATATTTCTTTACCTTACTTTCGACAAATGAGCTTAAATGCGATTTTTAAAATATACATATATACTTAACAGATACTCTCAGCCAAGAGAGAAACATCGGAGAAGAAAGGTTAACAGAAATGCAGAAGATGAAGGAGGATTTACTTAGTCATGAAAGAACAGAAGAAAGTCTTCAAAGTACGTTTTCGCTTTAAATGATGACTTCTTTTCTAAATGATATTTTCACTAACTTTAGAAATTAAGATTTTTATGTCTCATTTTATCTACTACTATAAAGTAAAAAAGAGTCTGACATTTGGCATTTGCATGTTGTTCTCTCTCCTGGTCTTTTACTCATAATTTGGATCTTCAAAATGTTTTGAACCATATCGAATTACAAAATCTTAAGGGTTGAGTTCATTTGAATGCCATAGGAATACGGATCATAAGTAGTTATTTTCTTCTTCAATAATTAACCATAACTAAAAGTGAAAGTTCTTTGATGAAGAAAAAAGCTTTATAGTTTTCTTATCTTCTAAGTCCATTATATTTTTTAGAGAGACTAGAGGAAGCCAATGGAGAGATGGATAATTTGAAAAGACAAACTGAAAAACAATGTGGTGAGGAATTTCATATTATCATTATGATAGAAATATTATAGATATTATCATAGAAATAATCAATGTGACTTAAATGAAACTACTTCAAGTAGATGATTAAGATGTATAGTTATCAATGGGGAAAGCTGCTAGTAAATTGAATGTTTTAAGATAGACTCATTTAATCCTCTCGGAATATCTGATTGATTGTTTGTATGATGTTTTACATCCCATTCGAGAATTTTTCACTCATATAGAGATGTCACCGTATGCCGGTGAAGGGCTTCAAATTATGACCTCAGGCCATGGAGTAGTGAGGGTTCTTTATTGTGCCAACGCTTATCTGTGACACGGGACCTCGGTTTTTAGGGTCTCATCCGAAAGACCCCTGATTTTCACTCCTAGTGCTGGGCGCTTGGCAAAGGAACAGCCACTACCCATATTTACGTCTTAGGTTTGACGCAGCGCGGCGAATGAGAATCGAATCCGGGCCTCCCGAAGCGATCGGAATATCTATTGTCCATCAATAGTATATCTTTTTCCAATTGTTGTTTTTCAAAAATAGATTGGTATGTCCTATCATGTATAATAATGGATCTTTTGTTTCACAAATTGGTATAATTTAATGGTGGACGGCATCATGAACGTAAGAAAAATATCAAGAGAATCCAAAGTAACAGTATATTCTAATATATAAATTTTTTGATTGACATCTTCCTTAAAAGATTTATAGAGTGCTACATGGTGCTCCGACATTTCCCAAGAACTGGAACATTTTGCCCCTATGCACTTTTAAACTGAAAATATACGTATAATACCTATCATGTCACAAAGGAACATATCTGGTATTCACATTAACTATATGTAGCTAATGATAAGAAAAAATAAATTTTGAAATAACATTATTTTTTATGCATGTTGAACATTGTTACGTTTTTTAATACGAATGAATTGACATTTGTATTCAAAAAAATTTTAATTCGTTTCTGAACAGTAATATATATATATATATGTATATATATATATATATATATATATATATATATATATATATATATATATATATATATATATATATATATATATATATATATATATATATATATCCCATGTTTACCCCTTTATCCCGTGGATATGACTCATTGGATAATTTTTTTCATAATCCACAGTTAAGTGCAGTTGTGACGTCACAATGGTTTTTGCGTTAGAGTAATGAAGTAAAATAAAGTGGAGTCCTATATAAAACAATGTAAAACATTGGTTGTGAAGTATTAAACATGGGATAAAAAGAATCTCCCATGTCTCCCATCTCCCACTCGTTGTGTGTTTTTATCCCCTCGCCAAGGCTCGGGCATAAAAAAACCCCCACACAACTCGTTGGATAAAAATCATATCCAACTACAAATCATGGGAGATCCTATATATATATATATATATAGAGAGAGAGAGAGAGAGAGAGAGAGAGAGATTTATTGTTTTGTTGTTGATTACAGCAGACAATAGCGGCATTCTTCACAAATTTTTGGATGGGGAGAAGGCTGCAGAAAATTTTAAAGGTTTGAATTTATACTTGAATGAACTTGAACTCTGTACACTCAATTCAAATTTAAAAGGTTTTGTTTTCAGTTTCCCATATTGTCTGATATCTCTTTGTGTACGTAATTAACAATGAGTCTTTAATTTTCTTTCGAAAGCTGCTTTGGAAAAATTGAAAGAAGAGAAAGAGCAATTCGAAAGACAGTTCCATTTGACGAAAGGTTTGTTAAAAAACTAGGTAAAAGAGACCTGTGGACGGATATTTGCTTTTATGTCACTTGAGTCTTTCAGGTGATCTTGTGCTATCTCTTTTTTGTCTGTCGTTTTGCATCGTTCGTTGGTTGTAAACTTTTATACATTTTCAGGTTCTACTCTTGAACAACTGAATCAAATTAAACTAATTTTGGCAAAAAGAATCAAATGGTGAAGAGCTAAAAGAAATTTTGAATCTCATGGTCCCCCCCCCCCCGGGCGTAGGGATGAGGCCAAAACAATCAAAATTAGTGCTTTCTTTAAAAAAAATTCCTTTTCTTTACTCCTTTGACATCAAGCTATCAATCTGTTGGCATAATTGAAATGAGTATTGAGGTTGCTACCATAATATTAAAATTTCTGGCCCCAGGGCAGGGTTCTAATAATCATATAGTGAAAAAGTGAAAAAGCTTAAATTCTTTAAAAATCTTCTTCTCTACCCCTGTTTATGTTGTAGATAAACTAGATGCATGGATATGATGAACAAGGGTGTATTTTCCAAAATTGTGAAATTTGTGATCCCAGGGTGAGGGGTTATGGAGTTGGAAAGGGGGGGGGGCTCCATTGTTTTTATTGTGAAAATGCATTATTTCTTTTAAAATCTACATACAAGAGAATAGTTATGATGAGCAATGGTGCTTCTTTCAAAATTGTGAATTTCATGGCCCCTGGGTCAGAGCTCTATAGAGATGGGATAGTGTAACGATGCGGTTTTCCACAAATGCATAGGTATCTTCAGTAAAAGGACCATTACTGTTTATAATTAAAACGTACGAAAACCTTCCTTCAGACTTATTTTTGTGAATATTTTTTCAACTTCGACGATCAAAACCTCATTATTGCGTTTGACTTTCGACTTGTCATGTACAATCATTAATTTTCCATGAGCTAAATTTGCGAACATATCGAATTAAGTGGGGTTACAACTACAAGGGTGCCATTTTCGATTTTATGAAAAAAAAAAATATGGGACACACTTAGCTAAACCTCTCCTGAGCTTTAATTGTTCCTGCAAACTGGTGAAAACAACTGACGAATCAATGCCAGAAAACTCTGCAACATCGTCCACTATTCACATAGGACTGGGATTATCAACTTTTGTCATTTTCTCACAACAACTTTTTTTTACCCCATATTAAGCGCGAAATTCGATAATAACATGCTATGACACACTCTTAAGCCACGTCAGACCTATAGGAGCTCCTGAATATACCTGCATATAATAGAATGTAATCTATGTAAACATTCTCCCAACTTGCAATTGTGTCTGTTAGCATGGCTCCAAGTAATGAAAAAAAATTGAATTTAAAATTTTACATCTCTGAAATTGTGTCTCTTATTACGTCATTTTAAAGATCAGTATGCTAGACAAACGAGATTCTGACGTCATTTTCGGAGTTATTACGACATAAAAATTACAAAGTGACATCACAATGTGTATATTTTTCTGATCTTTTCAATGATATAAAACTCATTAACTTTCCATTAAAAGGGTAATATTTTAACTTTCCTTTAAATGGTTAATATTTTATCAAGCAGTTCTCAGAAGTTTCTTGTAATGTTTTATTTATTTTAAAGAAAAACTTGATAAAAAAGAACATGATCTCTCAGTTGCAAATGAACAGCATGAAGGAGTAATATCAAAGAAAGATGAAGCTATTCTGAAGTTAACAGGTAAAGCCTACTAAAGAAAAAACACAATGTTTTTGCATTTGTTATCTCAGAATCTATAAGCATGCTTCAAGTCGATGACACACGAATTAGAGATATGTTATACACAGATTCAAAGCCAGGAAATTAGGATTTGGGCTAGTTATCAAATAGGATCTTAAAAATTGAATGATATGGAAATTTTTAACAGAAACGTTGCCAAATGTTTTTCTCTTTGCATTTATTTTTCTTTTCAAGAATTTTTTTCCTTTTGCATTTAAAGTTTTAATCTTTACTTCAGCTCAATCAAACCAAGAAAAAGAAAAGAACCAACAACAAATAAATAAATTGACGGATGATATTCGGCGTTTACGGGCCCAAATTATGCAAACAACAAGTATGTATATAGAGGATATTCAATGTTTTGTAGATGAATATGGAATTTATTTCACGAGTGGGACAGGATTTTTTGATATTTTCACGAGTGCGAAGCACGAGTGAAAATATCAAAAAATCCTGTCTTACAAGTGAAATAAATTCCATATCCATCTACAAAACATTGAATTTTCTGTTTATTACATTTTCTTAGATTTTTCCTTTGCCTCTGTCTTTTCGTAACACAGTGTCATAGGCTGTGACGTCATAGTTGAGCGCTTGAGACGTCATAGCTATAAGCGATTGCGAGATTGAAAAATTGTAAACATGGATTGATAACGACATATTTGGAAAAACTTTTGCAGTATACCTGGTAGCTATTAGTCTCTGTCAGGATGGCTCATTAACTCTATCTTATAACAGGCTTGGGATTTAAAAAAAAAAAAAAAAAAAAAAAAAAAAAACTTTTCGAGAAGGGAAGGAAAATCGTAAGTTTTGCCGCACTTCTGATATTCTCACACTGTGAGAATACCATATTGATACCCTTTCACACTGTGTCAGAATATCAATTTTATTCAGTAAATGAATTATAGTATTTGACTGTTGAAAATGTAATAATTCAGCTGCCTATCTCCTTTTATCATTCATGGCTCAGCATCAATATAGTATGTTCGTATGTAATGTGTTTAATGAATTGCCGTATAATTTTCAGGTGAACTAGAAGGAAAGAAAATAGAAAATAAAACTTTTGAAACAGAACTCATCCGAATTAACCGTAAGTTATAACCATTAAAATGGTTGTATATTAGTATAAATGCTGAATACTTATATATAATGTGCTGAAAAAAGCGCTGGGATTTTAACCATTTTTTTTTAAATATATATAAATACTTTAAACCGAGGCCATTTCGACTCACTGACCGTTGAGCATTCAGATAAGGACTTAAAGAAATTTAAAGTATTTTCTCTATTTAATATTGATGTAACGAAAACAGGAAAAGGAAATGGGTTTCAGGACGAATAAAATTACCATTATACATCTGTACATACATGTATATATGTCCGTATACTAGTGCACAAATTCTTTGATTATAAAAAAAAATACTAATGTATTTTTCTATATCATTTCTTATTGTCAGGAGAGTTGGAGGACATCAAGAAAGAAAAGACACAGCTTGATGCCCACATTCTTCAATTAAGTGGTAAGTCTGTTATATGTACTTATAATCCAAAATCAAATAGCATAAAATCATATGAATCAGAGGAAGAATTCTCTGTGAAATCGTACTTAATATATGAACTTGTACTTAATATATGAACTCGTACTTAATATATGACTGTATCAACAGGAGAAGTGAATAAGCGTGATACGAAGATATTGGAGCTAAACGCCAATATAGAAATGAAGGAGGCCGAAAAAACATATGCCAATGGTACAAATAAATTAACTTTAGTTTAAATAAAGTAATTGGGTATGTAAAGTTCATTTATCGACTGTCCTTTTAAAACTTAAAGCTTATTGGGTTTTTTTTTTATTGGTTATCTCAAAGGACTTTGATAACTAGTGTCCTCACTTTTTAGTTCACCGAACCAAATTTCTGATCAATATTAATCCATCTGACGCCTATTGTCTGTTAACTTTTCACATTTTTTGATAAGCAAGGATTCAAATTTGTTCAAATCTTAGCCTTGGTATAGTTTTGGACAAAATTTTGTTATCAAAATTTTTCATGAGAATATATAGGCAAAAATCTTTTCTTTTTAAAAGTCATTTTAATTTACAAGGTATATTCAAGTAGTGAAGATTCAATTTTGTTCAAATCATGGCTCAAGGGACTAGGGTTGGCCACAATAAGGGATCAGAATTTCACATGGGAATGTTGAGGGAAAATCTGTTGAAGAAATTCTCAAGAACAACTGGACCTTGATCAGTAATATTAATTTGCTTATTAATATTAATATCCTCAGATAGTGCAGATTTAGATTCGTTCAAATCATGCCCACTTTGATAGAGTTGGGCAACAATAAGATTTTAAGGTTTTACATAAAAATATATAATAGGAAAAATATTTAATATTCATCCTCTCAAGAACATCAGGGCCATAATTAGTGATATTGATATACAAGCATCCTCAGAAAGTGCAAATTCCAATTTTCATAGTTCACTGCCCTGGGAAAGGATGGAGACACAATAGGAAAAAAAAACTTTAAAAATCTTCTAAGAAATATCAGAGCCAGGATTAGTGATATTAATATTCTTGTTTGCTCAAATCTGACCCCAGGGGGTATATGGTGGGCCACAATGCAAGGTTAAAACTTATAGGAGAGAAAATCTTTTTGAATTATCTTCTTCTAAAAAACAGCAAGGACATTGTGACTCAGATGAGCGTTGTGGCCCATGGGCCTATTGTTGTCGAGTTACTGTTTAGAATGAAAGTATATAATGCTTTAAACAGTGAATAAAACAACTAATAATTAATAATTAAAGTAAACTGCATTGTAAGATTTTAAATTTCTTCATTGCTTCAGAAATGGTCACAAAAATATGCCGTCCATTAAGATGAATTGCCATGACGATACTTTTAATTAGCTATTATTATTATAGAATTTTTTTTTTCGTTTTGCAAAAGTAGTCGTGAACCTGTTCTTATTGTTCTCGAATTCAAATCATATGTATAGATAAGCTCGTTCTAAATATTCAAAAATAACTTTTAATTTGTAAAAGTTTATAGATTATTTTGTTCATTTGCTGTGCTGAAAGAAATATTGCATTTTAGAATGCATGAAGAAGACTGTTCAAAGTCAACAGGAAATGGCGTATCGAATTTCAAATTTACAGAGAGTAGAAATGGAGAAAAGTCAAGCAGAACAAGACAAGTAGTTTCTTTTAGGTAATTACGTTTTTTTATATATTCAAGTTCTAGGCTACATGTAAAAAAAAAAATTAAAGCGAAACTAATAACGAACAACGGTTGGTTTTTATTTAATTGGGAAAAGCCATGCTTAGAAAAACAAATAACTATATACCAAAATTTCGGGGACGGCACCGAATGGAAATATACGCAATCCTTTTTTTAGTTGCACTGTCATGCTTTACTGAATACACTCACTAGATTTACTGATTTATAATTTATAAATCATAAAACAAATTTGTCGTTAATTCTGACACTCATTTGGTTTATAACAGACAGATCGAAAGATACTGGCATTTTTTTATGCTCACTTGATCTATTCAGTCAGCAAAAAACAAGCTTGAATTAAAGTTAATATTGCTGAGTTTGGTTTTATTTTCAGTTAACGAAAAATATTCAGTAGTTTAGAAATATATGTTTTGTGGACACAGTGCATGCAATACAAATCTGTAAAAAATTTATGCTAAAAACTTAATTTCAGTTGAAAACACCCGTCTTCGTGCATGCCTGGAAGAATCAGGCTACTTACGCAATTATTTGCAGGAATACTATAAAGTTTTGCAAGACACACAGTTAGAGTTACAGAGGGAAACTGGTAAGTGTAACATGTGTGTCACTAATCTACATACAATACCAGTTGATCAAAGTGAAATGAAAGTAAAGTTTTAGTCGATTGCTTGTTCTGTCATTTGCAAAACATTGTAGGGTAATATATCTAACTTGTGTTGACAAAACAAAGCTAATTTTCTATGGAATGCTAATTCTATTGAAATTAATAGCAAGTATCACGAAGAATGTAATAAGAATAATTTGATTTCAACTGCATTTAAAGACAGAATAAAAAGTATACACCCACCCACCCACCCACCCACACACACCCTCACACACACACACACACCCTCCCTCACACACACACACACACACCCACACACACACACACACACACACACACACACACACACACATATATATATATATATATATATATATATATATATATATATATATATATACATGTATATATATATATATATATATATATATATATATATATATATATATATATATATATATATATCTATCTATCTATCTATCTATATCTATATATATATATATATATATATATATATATATATATATATATATATATATATATATATATATATGGTATAAAGAAACAGGTACATGTAAATTAACAAACGATACTGCAGTTTGGCATAAGATAAAAAAATTCTTTAAAAACGAATATAATCTATTATTATATTTGAAAGTAAATATCCTTAAATACCATTACTATATTTTATGTTCTAGAGAAAAACAGACATGTCAATGAGTTATTGTCGACTAATGGCCACCGTTTAGAGAATATGGCAGCAAATTTACGGAATTACCGTTCTGCAGCAGAGAACTACAGGAGATTGCTGGAAGAGAAAAAAGGTCAAAAGAAATCAATTTTCAATGTGAGATAGAAATATGCTTCAAATATCAAATATGATTTTTAAGTTCAATTAAATATAAACATTAATTTACTACTTATTTTTAAAGAATGTGTACATGGGCTCCAACAGCAGGTAGATCAGCTAACTTGTAAGTATATTATGGAATGCTGAAATACACATGTAGATTTTTTTGTGGTGTATTTTCTGGTTCAGAATGGTTTCGAAGGGAATTTTTTTAAACTGTCCTCAGTTGCTTTTCAGACTCACTTTTTACAAGTCTATTGAAATTTATTGATTGTATGTTTTATACGTCCCATTCGCGAATTTTGCACTGATATAGAGATGTCACCATATACCGTTGAAGGGCTTCAAATTTTAACCTATATTTGGCACTCAGGACCATTGAGAAGTGAGGAATCTTCATTGTGCGAACGTCTACAGTGACAAGGGAGATCTTTTTTTAGGTCTGATAGGAAAGACTCGCACTTGGCTTGGCGAAGGGACAGTAGTTTTTTAACGACTTAGGTCTATAGTGACCGGGGCTTGAACCAATGACCTTCCGATTACGGAGCGAGCGCTCTGCTGACTAAGCTACGTAACAATCACAAGTCTTCCGAGAAAGTTGTCATCAGCAAATATTTAAGAGCCATCTCTGTAATGACTTGAATATATATATATATATATATATATATATATATATATATATATATATATATATATATATATATATATATATATATATATATATATATATATATATATATATACTGTGGCACACATAGTTTCAAAATTTCTCCAAGCTCTCTATGATAAAAGTCTTTGATACCATAAACTCAAATCAGGCAAAAAATGGTTGCTATGTGTCATGGTTACCATGGCAGCATACCTTAAATTCTGAAAATTGGCATTTTTGAACATATTTATAGTGCCATGGTTAACATTTGCAGCAATGCAGACACGTGACAATGACTGCTTCCAAAAGTTGAAGGTTTAATGTCGTAAATGCATGATAAACGTATTTTGGAAATCAACTCTTACATACGATACTGAGTAAACAAAGTCTTCGAAACATAATTTTATTCATTACCTCACCAGTGAGCTTTTCTGATTGAAGGTTGTCCCACGTCCGTCTGTCGTGTCTCGTCCGTCGTCTATAAACTGTTCACATTTTTGACGTCTTCAACTAAATTTGTTTCAAAGCATCCTTGGATGAAGGGGATTTAAGTTTAGAAAAAAGGAAACTTGTGTGAAAGTTTCATTACATAATGTACCTTCAAGTTTGTTCAAATCATAGGCTAGGGCGGGGCCACAATAGGTGTTTAAAGTTTTACATAGGAATATATAGGGAAAATATTCAAAGAATTTTCTTCTCAAAAACAACAATGCTATGATTAGTCTTATTTATTTGGCAGTATCCACTGGTAGTGAAAATTCAAATTTGTTGAAATCATGACCCCGGGCATAGGATTGGGCAACATTAGGCGATCAAAGTTTACTTAGAAATATATAGGAAAAACTCTAACAATTTCTTCTCAAGAACAGCAAAGCCATGATTAGTCTTTTTTAAGGTCACCTGAGTCACTCAGGTGACCTACTGCTATTTTTTTTTCGTCCGTGGTCGTGAGACGTGCGTCGTGTGTTAACATTTGTACATTTTCAGTTTCTTCTCTGAAAAGGATGAACCAATTTTAACCAATTTTGGCATATATACTGAAACGCAAAAGAAACGCAACATGCTATTTTAGGGGAAAATATTACATATAGGATATAATTTTGTATCTAAAAAGTAAGTACATCTTCAACTTCGTAAATATCGGTAATTTAACGGTTGAGTGATTCTCATACCATTACCGGAAGTTACGTTTGAGTCCGCTTAACAGAAATAAAAAGTTGCATGTTTAAAAAAACATTTGGCAATAATATAGGGTTTTAAGGATTTGTATCTGTTCATCACAAGTAATGCAGCAATGTTCCGAAAAATAAATTCTCTTTTGTTCTCCGTAAGCGATGCCAAGGCTTCCTAAAAAAGACAAAAGTACCATACGCATTTCCATTGCTCTAGCTGGAAAATCTCAAAATAAAGATGATGGAGAGTTGCAGTTGCAAATATGCACCACATCACGCCTCAACAGGATGTTACGTATCATAAGCATGAATGATAGTCATTGGACAGGAAGTCCAAGGGTTACTACACTGCGCTTGGCTAGAGAAAATTCGACCTCATCATCTGAAAAACAGGCATTTAAAAATGGCAAAGAATATTTCTTTCGCTCAGATCTCGAGATTGATGAACCCAATGCATCGTAGAAATCAAGCTGCAACTGTTGTACATGGCAGTCTTTCACGCTGTAATTGAATGGCCGGGTTGGGGTGTTTTAACATTCATGTGTTACTTTCTAAAGTTAAAACATAGTAATTTGAAATTTTTATCAAATCTGTGATGTTTTTAAATCGAGTTTTACCTTACTGTATTGATGTTTGAAAATCATCAGATAAAAAAATCAAATATTTGTAGATCACTGCTTGTTGCGTTTCTTTTGCGTTCAGTATAGCATCTATGGGTGAAGGGGAACAAAAATTGTGAAATTCATGGCCCCTGACTTCTGGCATCAAGCAGTCAAGCAATTAGCATGATTGTAATAAGCATTGAGCCCTCTACCAAAATTGTGAAATTCTTGGCCCCAGGATCAGGTCTCTGATGCTAGGGTTGGGCTCTGTTGAATATATAGTGAAAATGCATTATTTCTTGAAAAATCTTCTCCTCTGCTCCTGGGTATTTAGCAAACAAACTAAATGCATAGTTATGATGAGCAAGGATGCCTCTTCCAAAATTGTGAATTTCATGGCCCCTGGGTCAGGGGTTCTGGGCTAAAGACCAAAAACTGAGAACAGACTTACATGTAAGTCAAAATTTCAAATCAATATATTTTTTTGATAATTTTGATAATGTGTTAGGAATTTGTGTTTTAAACATATCTGCAATTTTTTTAAGCACATGTGTTAAATAGAACTTAAGATATTCAAAATCAAAATTTTGACTTAAGTCTAGTCCTAGTTTATGGTCTTGAGACCTGGTTTTAAGATGAGCAAGGTGCCTCTTCCAAAATTGTGAATTTCGTGGCCCCCTAGGCCTCGGTCAAGGGTTCTTGTGTTTGGGCGGGACTCTAATGATTATACAGTGAAAATGCATTAATGTTTTGATAAATCTTCTCTGCTCCTGGGTATTAAGCTGAATTAAGTACATAGTTATGATGAGGAAGGTTGTCTCTTTCATAATTGTGAAAGGTGTGCACCCAAGGTCAAGGATTCTGGCGGGGGCTTATTTAATACATACTGAAAATAAATTAATGCTTTGAAAATCTTCTCCTCTGCTCCTTGGTATTAAGCACACAAACTAAGTGCATAGTTATAATGAAGAAGGGTGCCTCTTCCAAAATTATGAATTTCATGGCTCCTTGGTCAGGGGTTGGTATTTTGGTGGGGCTCTATTGAGTCTATAGCAAAAATGCATTAATACTTTGAAAATCCTC